TTTTGTCTACAGTATCAGGTTGTTCGAAGGGAAATGACATGATAGGACTTGCAGCGCTTCCCTTTTGCTTCCCTTTGAAAACCATCAAACGACGCGGCCGAATTAGTGCTTTCTGCGGCCGAGTAGCGTTGAAACCAGCGCTCCTAGGGTTCTTCTTCGATGTTCGCACTGACCTACAGGACCGTCTACGGGAGGACAGCTTAGAGATTCAGGAGCCGGGGGTGGACCTCTGGCAGAGCTATTCCCGAACGGGGGGTCATAAGGTTTCCCTTCTCGCCCGAGACAGAATACGGAAACCACACGCATTTGCAATTACAACCTACACATAGCTACATCACAAACGTTAGCCTGTGCAGTCCTGCATGGCTCCCCATCATCTCACTTCCTCTTCCAAAACTCTCATCAACTGGAGCCTCTTCTTTGTCTTTGGTTGGAGTCTGCAGTCAACTCAAGTTTCAGTTTCCTTGTCCGAGGGAACTTTAGGTGTTTCTCCGACTCAAGCGCTGGTGATGCCGGGGGTGCCGGCCACTTTAGGCAATAAAGTCCGTCAAAACCAGAGCGAGTCACGCCGGGATCGAAAAGTCAATTTCTTAATTCGTTTTGTAAAGAAGTTAACGCTGTCGAATGACTCTGAAAACTCAAGTTTGGAAGCCACCACAGCTACTCTTGCAACGACACATATTAAAACCACACGATTCTTCCTCTAAATGTTGCTGCATTGTCTCAATTTTCAAACCTAGCTGTGCTGGGTTAGCGACGGGGCAGGAGGGCGCAGGGCCGGATTCACCCGAGCATACATAGTATTATATATATATATGTATATACACATGTTTCTGTTACATACATATACATTATAGAGAGATATACGGTACGAGTATGTACACAAACATCTATACATATAAACTACACTACACACACACACTACGTATATGTGTAAATGCGTATGCACGCATCTAGCACTAGACTCAAGCAAACGAGAATTGTGGCCAGGACACTGTCTGCACGGAGGAGGCGGCCCTTCTGGACGAGCTGCAGCCGGCCGGGATGGGGGGGAAAGTCGGAAGGGCGCCCACAGGGTGTCCTTGGATCTCCCCTTTTTGGTGAAAGTGACCGCAAATAGTCATTGACATGGGAAAATGTGGGTTCGTCATTTCGGTGGCGCTTTACTCTTCACCCTTGAAGCTTGGAAACTGCCTGGTGAGGTGACTCATTTGAAGAGACATGTGACGCACCCGAATGGGTCACCGTCCTGAAATTCACAGCCCCAACAACTCGGGGGAGGCATTCCAGAAAGGTTCTTGGAACCCAAAGCATGTTCGCCTTGGGAGTCGCATGTGGATGTGCAGGGAGCAGGGCGCTGATGCGATCCTGTCAGCTGCTAATTGCTGCTTCACCACAGTCCACTGAGTCCAAGCGCTTAAAACGAGCCCCGGCTACTTGGGACGACTCATGTCTTTCTTAAGCATAGCCTTGCCAGAATACCTTTTCCTTTTAAGGGTGCAGGCAGTGGTTCTGATGACTACTCCAAGCAGTCCCTTCACGAATTTGACTTTTGACATGCCCACAGTCCAGAGGAGGGTGGCCAGGAAACACTTTCCTCAAGTCAAATGCAGCCCGCGTTGCATGTGTTTGCGAAGCTCCGTGCTGGCCTCCCACTGCAAAGAACCCCCTTCCCCCTCTCCCCGCCTGGAGGAAGTGTCGCAGCAGACGCAGTCGCAGCAGACCCTGGAGGCTCGGCTGGCCCACCTTGCGCTTGGGTCTTGGGGAAGCTCGTGTTTGTGCGCTCCAAGTGCTCAAAGCAACCAAAGATGCTTCAGTCTCGCGCCGACTCATAGGAAGGGTGGCAATTGGCTTGTTTGCCTTTTGGGCCGACTAGTGGTCCCCTGGCTGTAGTGGTGAAGGATTGCGGATTAGTTTGGAACAGCCAAATGGGTGAGCTCTCCACATGTTTCCCGAAATTGGGACCCCTGAAGACGGTTGGTTTGCTTTGGGTTTCCGCTGAACCAGTCCAAAGGAGGCGTCCCAAGAGGAGGCGCCGGCGCACTTCACCAGCTCCCAGCTGGAGGCGAGCCGTTGTGGACCTGCCCGGACAGCCACACCTCTGTTGCTGACAGTTGTGGTTTAAAGACGAGTAAGCCTCCTTCCAACCAGGGAGGTGGAGCTGCTTCCAGGGCCAGAGGGGGGCAGGTGGGAGATGGCGGTAAAGGTATTGCGAGGAAGAGTCACCTCCTATCCCAGTCGCATATTGTTTGTTTGATCTTAGGTGGATGCTGGTTTAAGGCACCCAGGATTGTTTTGCGACTAAAGCGGAATGAGATGAACGTTGTGCTAACAGGGCACATGAACAGTCACATGCAAGCAAGCAAGCTTGCGCAGGCTTTCCTGGACGAGCCCAGCGTGCAGAGCTCGGTCCAGGAGGCTTGCAACAGTTTCAAGGGGCCGTTCCAGCTGTAGGGCCTCTTCCAGATGATTTGGTTGTTGTCTGTTTCTTCTCGTTATGTTTTGTCTTTTCTGTATTTCTTTCTCTTTTTTTTTTTTTGGGGGGGGGGGTTGAGGTTCTGGCGCTTTGGGGTGGCTGGGGCCCGTGATTTTGTTCGCAGCACTAGGAGAGAAAGCTGCGAGATGGCATATGTGGACACTAAATGTTTGAGAGCCGGGGCTTGACTGGAAACCAAAGTGTAACCGGGCCCCCCCATTTTGAGACACACCCAGTTGGCAATGTCCAGGAATGTGCTTTTGCGCAGGACGAGTGGCATGCCGAGGCCTTGCTGCCCAGCTCTCGCTGCCTTGCGGGCCTTCGGGTGCCGCCCAATCAACCAACCCCCACCCACCAAACCAATGACCCCAGTTAAACCAACCCTACAATTTCCAAAAGGGGCACCCCCAGGTCCATAGGTCTCGCGACTCCTTTTGCTTGGATCGAGGACGCAGGCTTTCTTATGCGCATGGAAAAGGCTGGGGCTTCGTGCTGGTTGGGTGGTTGGGTGGTTGGGTGGTTGGGGGACCGGGCCTTCACTTGGACGTGAAAGAAATCGACGCCAGGTAGGTTACTATGGACATGAACTTGGGGATTCGCTTACAGGAACCCTAGCAAATGGGTTTATATGGGTCATTTTTTCATTCCCTGCTGAGAACCAGCAAGAAAAGGTAAAGGTAACCAAGGGGTGGGTTTCTCATCTTCCCAGACAGTTGGCCCTTCCAGCTCACAAGTGAGGTTGGTTCAAGCGGGTCGCCCGGGGCAAGCTATGTCCTTGATCTCCCGCGTCGACTGTTGGGCTTTGAACCCCAAAGCTTCACGGGGACGTGTTGGCTGGCTTTTCTTTTAAGAAGGATCTTGATTCATCTTTCTTGTGTTCCAACTCGCGAGGTCGGCAGAAACTAGAAACTGAAAAGCCGTGGGTTCTTTTAGGGTCTCCAATTTCCCAGCCAGAAGCCGAGCAACCAGCTCATTTCCGTCAGACGTTTCAGGGAAGCCATTGTCATCCTTGAACACGGGCCCCGGTTTCCGCCCACCGGACCTGTGGTGCCTGATTGCAACAACTCGGTTTTGGCATGTTATCCGAGTTGTTGCGCTTCAAGAAAGGACACTGGGTTTGTTTAAGGTATTGGAATTGCCCAAACTCGTTCGGTTTGCTTTCGGCTTCCCTTGAAATCGACACCCCTTGAAAGTGAGACACACGCACATACATGACTATTGTCATTATTATTATTATTATTATTATTATTATTATTATTATTATTATTATTATTATTGTCACTATTATCATTATTATTATTGTCGACATGCAATCGCAGATACCTTACCAGGTGTGCCGTGCGTTGCTTTGAGCAGAAGTTGGCAGGAATGGTTCGAAGAGCCCGGCTTGCTGCCGAGTGGCCCTGAGGAGGCACTGGTCTGTTAGATGTCGCAGCATTTTTGCGCGTCCTTGTCTGTGTGTGTGTGGGTGGGTGGGAATGTTTTTGGTTTGTGCGTTTGTGTTTTGGTGTTTGCTTTTTGTTTGCTTGCTTGTCTGTTTGTTTGCTTGATTGATTGCTTGTCTGGCTTGTCTGTTTGTTTGCTTGATTGATTGCTTGTCTGGCTTGTCTGTCTGTTTGTTTGTTTGCTTGATGTACTGCCTGCTTTCTTGTTTGTTTGCTTGCTTGCTTGTCTGTTTGTTTGTTTGCTTGCTTGCTTGATTGTTTGCTTGATTGATTGCTTGCCTGCTTGTCTGTTTGTTTGCTTCATTGATTGCTTGCTTGCTTGTTTGCTTGTTTGCTTGCTTGTTTGTTTGTTTGTTTGTTTGCTTGTGTCAGATGTAGGGACCATGATCGAGATTCAACATGGAAGCAGTGCAATGTAAAGTCAAATGCTTGCTGCGTAAAGCAGGGAATGATGGGGCGCGCGCTTCGCCAACCCGCACATTATGTTTAAGCTATCGGTAGCGTGGGACACAACCCATCCATGAAGTCTGTGGCATGAGAGATTATCATATCATTGTTCCATGGCACAGCCGATCTTGCATGGACTCTCACGCACAAGCTTTCCTTATTCCTTGTCTTCATCTATACGTTATATTGTTGCTTATGACGTTCCTAACTACTCCTTTCTTACATGTTGCCTCTCTCTTGCAACCATATTCTACACTTCTCTGACCTTACAATCTTTCAATTGTAAATATTGTAGTATGTGTATGTATTTCTATGTTAGTTCTCATCTTCAATGCAGTCCAGCCAGGTGACAAATCACTGTGGGTGGCAGGTGATTGCACGCATTTCGATGTTGGACTGTGATAAGTTTTGCCGCAGCGCGAAGAGACTCGAGGCACGTCTGCTGCCGAATTTAACCGGCTTTAGGCGCTCCGGCGGACACGAGTCCTGAAGGCAAAGAAGAGGCTTCTCCTCAAAACTTGGAACCCTTTTCGGGCTTGAAAGGAAAGCCAGCAGGAAATTATCCATTTGGAGTTACTCAAACGTGCGATGCCTGCCGCGCTCGGCGAGGCCTCGATGAGCTCTGCGGAGATGGACGAGGCACCGTTTGTGGTTGTGGGGATGCTGGCAAGGTGCATCGGTATGTGTGTGTGTGTGCGCGTGATTCTGTTGAAGGTACCCTATTCAGATGGCTACTCTTTTGCCCCACGGCGACCGGATGGCGAGCAGATTGACTTAAAGGGAATCCAACAATAAATATCGATGTTTACGTCCCCCTATTGTGAGACACACACACACACAAAAAGAAATGGGTGCAAACATCAAGCGCTAGGCAATTGAGTCCTCGCACCGTGATAGTTTTTTCCGCCAGTCAAGGTCAGAGCTTGCCGGTGTTGTGAAAACAGCGCCGCGCTTCTTATTCTGTGTGGTTTTGGCCAGACGGAAATGCCAAGGGCCGGGAAGCTTCTGATGTCCTTAAGTTTTTTTTTCCTTTCCGATCCAGCCACCTTAAAACGTTGTCGTTGGCCGGTTTTGGAAACTTTTGGCAGCATTTCTCCTGTCCGTGAACTCATGAAAAGTGACCCCATCGCTCCTGCCTGCGTTGGGTGTGTTGTAGACGAGACTTTGACAGGAGCCCAGTATCCACGGGCTTGCAAGACGATCTCACTGTCTATAGTGAACACATGTGTAGAATCAGATGTGACACAATAGGAAGAATACGATGCTGGAGCGTCGGTAGCAGGCGTATTTTTGGCAGCCAAACGTTCTTTCCAGCTTTGCCTCAAATTCGTGTTTTATACCTCTCTGAACCGATAACCAGATCGATGCAATCGTGTTGTTCTTTGATGAAATTAATGGATGAGTTGTAAGTACACGTGCTTTGCTGCCTAGTTTCGACGTTTGCGCTTTGTTGTTTTTTGTGCGCTAGAGGCTTGCTTCATCGTATTTGCGGGCCCCAACTCATTTTGCCTCGAGAAGCACAGGGTTTGAGGCCCGTTTCCGTCTTATTTCGGAATGCAACACGTGAATTTCCCCCCAAAAATGAGATCCCTCAAAAGTGCGGGTTTTGGGGTTTCATGTTGATATGCAGGCGTGCGCATTTCTGCACGATGGGTTTCGCTGCACAGGCCGCGCTGAGCGATTCCAGGGTGATCCCCGGGGAGGCCCGCCAGACATATGGGTGTGTTTTTTCGGAGAGTTCCCTTTTTCAGGTTGGTTACGGCACCACAAAGGACAACCACCAGGCTTGGGCTGACTTTGACACATACCTGTGCCCAGTATGTCTGGCTGTGACGGGGTGAGCAAATGGGCAACTCGTGGTCATTCCTCCATTTGCCACGTTTTGGCCAAGGAGCAACGAGCATGCGAGCTTTGCAAGTACTCGCACAAAGTACAAGCCAGATGATGCGACAGACAGACCATGTTTGTTTGGCGACGTGCATTGTCGGAAACCGAATCAGGGCCTCACCAAGGTTGGCATTTGAGTGATTTGGGCTTCCAGCATGTGGAGCAGGTCACATGAGAACAGTTGAGTAAGTAGACGGTGCTTGCACCCAATGCCCAAACACAACGGTGTAGTTTTAGTCTTTTTTGTTTTAAAGCTCTGGTTCTGATTCAAAATTCACGGCCAGTGAGTACCGTGCATACGCGCGATTGATGCCAATTGGTGTGCATTCTAATGTTCGGTGTGAGGTGCTTGGAAGCGAAAAGGGTCGTGCTGTTGCTGGCTGAATACTCATTCGCTGCTGCTTGTTTGAATTTTGTGACGGCTCGCCGTGTAATGTTGATGGGTGCCTCACTGCGTTGCCTTTGGCATGGGGCAGGTTTTGGCGGACCCCACTACCATGCAGAGCGGCGATGAGGCGTGGGCCGGCAAGACACAATTGATTCGTGTTCAACCAGACAACTCACGATCAATGGCAGGCCCTGTTTTGTTATGCGCTCGTTCTGTGAATTGGGCGTCTGTGTCTGACCAGAACGGCACAGGCCTCGGCGGGTGAGGCGAGCGCGGTGCACAGCAACCCAGGGGAGGCGGGCGTCTGCCGGCGGTCTTTGGTGTGACCTTAGCTCTTTGGACCTTTGGACACAAATGGAGTCAAAACCAATGGTGCCATTTTGGGGTAGGTGAATTCGCCACCCATTTTAGTCTATTTAGTGGGGATTGGGATGTTCACCGGGGGTACGGGATTTTGACCCCTGGCCAAATGGCTGGTGCCAGGTCGACGGTTTCTGCGGACGCGCAGTCATTGCGCATTCCTTGCGGGGGGCTGATCCATTGTACGCAGGCCTTGGCGACCGAGCCCAGTGTCATGCAGAGCGGGGCGGAAGAGGTGCCGCAGGCAAGAAGTGGCTGTTTGGCTGCAACCCCCTGGAAATTGCTGCTGCTTTGCGTACTTGTTCAAACCAGACGGGCCCCCTGTTTGGACCCCTGTTTGTTTGGACCCTTGTGCTGGACAGTTCTTCGATCGCCTCTGACAGACCAAATCCTGTCTTGAGATGTTGCTAGCGTGCCTGCTTTTGCAACTCCGCTCTTTGGGATTTGTGTTTGACCGGATGAATGGCGCTCGAGCAGGCCTCGGTCGGTGAGCCGAGCGTGATGCAGAGCAACCCGGGGGAGGCGCTGTGGTAGGGTGGGGGGGAAGACGTTTCCAGCAAAAAGCTCGTGCAGAAAAGCATGCTTGGATGGTTGGTTGTCAGGTTGGCGTTGCGACCTTCTCCGTCATTGTGGGCATTGCCCGTGCGTGGGAACTTGCAGACGGGTTTGTCACGGTTCCGGTGCCCAGGCTTTGTGCGAGCCGAGCATTGGCCCTGAGGCATGATGGGGGGCGGGGGGGGGGGGGGGGGGGGGGGGAGAAAGAGGGAACCTGCAATTTGCAAAGTCCTTTTATGTGGGACAGGGGTGCTTGGCGAGACTGCGCCTTGTCCACTTCCCGCATTGGGAGAAGGTAAACCAAGAGAATGCCCCCCCCCCCCCCCCCATCAGAGCAGGGAGGCGATGAATCGCAAGCAAGCCACCACCAAGCCGGATGGGCTGACCTCCTGATTTGCCGCAAGATTCCGGCGGAGTGCCCTGTTCCTTGCCCATGCCCATTTGCCCAGCAAGTCTGTGTTGCCGGCGGGTCATTTGTCTTCCCTTCGCCGTGCCGTGGAGGAAGGACGAGATGGCAACTTCCGGTTAGAGGACCCGCTTGGGCTTCTCTTGGTAATTCCCCGGCTCTGTGTCAAACTACGGCAAAGTTAATCTTTTCTCAACGGCTTTGTTTCCGAAGCCGCTCCCAGAAGCTCATGAGGAGGGGACAGAATCGATTCAGCCGCACTGGTGGCTTCTGTTTGTGTCCCAGCTTTGGTCGATCCTTTGTACGCTCCTGGAGGACACTGTCGCCGATGAGGCTCTGCTGGCTGAGTGGCAGCCAGCATCTGGACTGCAAGAAAGTGAAGAGGCGTAAGATGACTGTTTCAGAAATTGGCAGCCCCCGAAACCGAAAAAAAGAAAGTGAAGAGGCGTAAGATGACTGTTTCAGAAATTGGCAGCCCCCGTTTCGGTTTCGCGTTGGGTTTCCGCGCAACCAGAACAACAACCGCAACCCGAATCTCCGTTTCGCACTCAAGGTGGAGTCGCAGCAGACCTCGCTACTGGAGGCTGGACCCAGAGGATGCATTCGTGGGGTATCGCTTGCGTGGAATGACGATCCAGCGGTTTGCAGACGCTTTGGATCAAACGGACCTGTGATTTGGTCCCAATGGATCAAATCCACAGAGCCGATCGAGATAACCTTACCATGAGCTTCATGTTGGTAGGTTCAGAATCCTGTCCCTGCCGGAGAATGATTGGTGTTACTGGTTTTTATTGTCTTGCGAGGGGCGAGGGGCGAGGGGCGAGGGGCGAGGGGCGAGGGGTCGGCGTCGTTTGGTTTGCCCGCCTTCAGTCGGCAGGGGAAAGGCCTGATTTACGCGGGCAGCTGGAAGGCTGTCGCGCAGAAAACCAGCTCGCGCTCTGTGCAATCTCCACAATCCTTCGGGGACCAGGTGCCTCTATTCACCCCAGCTGCTTCTCATGACACTCACGTTTAGTTTCGGTCGGGGGGGTTCTCAAAAAGATGCGTCTCTTTGCATTTCAAAGGGGAACCAAAGCAAACCACAGCAACGCCCAAAGTGCGCATGCGAGGCGTCACAGGAGGAGGGGCACCTCACTAGCACGCAGCTGGAGGCTCTGGATGCGCCCAGCGTGATGCAGAGCTCTCTGGCAGAGGTGCCGTGGCAGCAAGAAGCCAGTATTTAATTTGTGGGGGGACCTCCTTTTCGGGGTCATTTTTTGGGACTGTCTTTTGGGTTCCTTGTTATTTTGCAGGGGAGTAGACCGTTGCCGGATGGCGCAAGCCTTGCCCTGCACGCTCGCGCTCAGCCACCAGGACGACGCCTCGCTGGCAGATTGCCCACAGATCATTATCAGCGACGCGCTCGCAGACTTGGCGGAAGAGGTTGGGCTTTGGGGCTTTGTCGCTTTGAAGCTTTCAGCCGTGATTGGTGCGGGTTGGGGGCGGTTGAAATGCGGGTAAGCTCCAAAAGCAGATTTGTGGTAGCCCAAAATCCCGGACCAATGGAGGTGCCAGGTTCTTTCCTTTGGTTTCCTTTGCCGGTTTCAAGCCGCAGGACAAGAGCGTGTGCTGCCTGGGCTCCAGTCTCCGCTCGGCGATGGAGCCGCTCAGCCCCAAGTCGGAGGCTGGCTGGGGGGGTCTGGGCAAAGGGCAGAAACGACCAGATTGTGTACGTGTAGGTGTATGTATTTGTGTGTGTGTGGCAGATAAAGAAAGGAAAAGACAAAGAGATATAACTTATGAACATATGAAAGGAACTGGTAAAAAGTGAAACGAGAATGAACAAATACAAACAATAAAAGAATAGTAAACAGAAAAGAGATAGAATGCAACTTTAGGATGAGGATTAACCCTTGCATCTATTCCTTTCGGAAGGCATAAGATTAGAAAAAGGGTTAACAGATATGCCTTCTCACCTGTCATCTCTTTCATATCTTCATCCTTGTCCGCGAGATTCCATCGGATAGCGGTTAACTCCTGTCGGTCCAAAAGCTGTGATAAAAGCCTTTACCTATGTTTCCGGAATTACCTTGTATTAATTGGAATTATGGAAATGCTAACAAGGCAATGTCTTTTCACAGGTGCTTTTTGTTGGAGGAAAAGGAAAGAAAAGTTAACGACGGCCGCAGAACTTTGAAAGACGAACATCTTACGAATCTTACCTAAAATGTTGGACCTCTGCAGGTGGATCCACGGGTGGTCCTTGTACCCATTTGAGAGAACCCGATTAGGTTCCGTCGCAAAGATGCCCTGACCTGCCACTTTTGGCAGGGCCTGGCGGACGTCTTGGACGCCTCCCAGGTGTGCGGGATGTGGAGGCTTTATGTGGGTTCCCACCTGGGTATGAATGTTAATAGGGAACCACCTCAAAAGTGGTTGGTGGACACAAGACTCCCCACCAGAATGTCCAAAGGGGCCTTCTCCAAAATCCAGACGTTGGGTTTTGCTGATTTGGCGGTGAGTAGACCATTCCCGGCATGCTTGGCGCAAGCCTTGCCCTGGCGCCACGCTCGCGCACAGCCATCAGGACGACGCCTCGCTGGCAGATTGCCCACAGATCCTCATCAGCGACGCGCTCGCAGACTTGGCGGAAGAGGTTGGGCTTTGGGGCTTTGTCGCTTTGAAGCTTTCAGCCGTGATTGGTGCGGGTTGGGGGCGGTCGATACGCGGGTAGCCCTCCAAAAGCGGATTTGTGGTCCCAGACCAATGGAGGTGCTAGGTTCTTTCCCTTTGTTTCCTTTGCCAGTTTCAAGCCGCAGGACAAGAGCGTGTGCTGCCTGGGCTCCAGTCTCCACTCGGCGATGGATCCGCTCAGCCCTAAGTCGGAGGCTGGGCGGGGGGATTTGGCCAAAGGGCAGAAACGACTGGATTGTGTATACACGTGTATATATATATATATGGTCCCGTGTTCCGTGTTGCTACCCCCCCCCCCGCCCCCCCCCCCCCCGGATGGTACGGTCCCACCCCCACACCGACCCCCTGAACTCGCACCCCGACACCCCGGCGCCCCCATCCCCAGGACAAGCCAACCCTAAATCAACATAAACCAACCCTAAACTAACCCTAAACTCACCCTAAACCAACCCTAACTAACCCCAAATACACCCTAAACCAGTCCCTAAACAATAAACCCTAAACCTAAACCAACCCTAAACCAACCCTAAACTAACCCTAAACCAACCCTAAATACACCCTAAACCAAACCCTAAACCGTACACCTCTGAACCTAAACCAACCCAAACCAACCTAAATCCACAAAAACCAACCCTAAACCAACCCTAAACTAGCACTCACCCTAAAAATACCCTAAACCAATTCTAAACCAACCCTGAACCTCATCCCAACCACAGGACCACAACCACAGGGCGGGGGTACTTGTCTGACCCATGACCATTGGGGGGGGGGACTGCCAACGCTGTACCATATATATACATTTGTATCATAAAATGTATTATATATATACAATACATATCCTTTTCACAGGTGCTTTTTGAGAAAGGAGGGGTTGACTACGGCCGCAGAACTTTGAAAGACGAAAGTCTTATGAATCTTACCTGACATGTTGGACCTCTGCAGGTGGATCCACGGGTGGTCCTCGTACCCATTTGAGAGAACCCGATTAGGTTCCGTCGCAAAGATGCCCCTACCTGCCACTTGTGGCAGGGCCTGGCGGACGTCTTGGACGCCTCCCAGGTGCGCGGGATGTGGAGGCTTTATGTGGGTTCCCACCTGGGTATGAATGTTAATAGGGAACCACCTCAAAAGTGGTTGGTGGACACAAGACTCCCCACCAGAATGTCCAAAGGGGCCTTCTCCAAAATCCAGACGTTGGGTTTTGCTGATTTGGCGGTGAGTAGACCATTCCCGGCATGCTTGGCGCAAGCCTTGCCCTGGCGCCACGCTCGCGCACAGCCATCAGGACGACGCCTCGCTGGCAGATTGCCCACAGATCCTCATCAGCGACGCGCTCGCAGACTTGGCGGAAGAGGTTGGGCTTTGGGGCTTTGTCGCTTTGAAGCTTTCAGCCGTGATTGGTGCGGGTTGGGGGCGGTTGATACGCGGGTAGCCCTCCAAAAGCGGATTTGTGGTCCCAGACCAATGGAGGTGCTAGGTTCTTTCCCTTTGTTTCCTTTGCCAGTTTCAAGCCGCAGGACAAGAGCGTGTGCTGCCTGGGCTCCAGTCTCCACTCGGCGATGGATCCGCTCAGCCCCAAGTCGGAGGCTGGGCGGGGGGATTTGGCCAAAGGACAGAAACGACTGGATTGTGTATACACATATATATATATATACATATACACATCTGTATCATATATGTATTATATATATAATACATATCCTTTTCACATGTGCTTTTTGTTGGAGGAGAAGAAAGCAGGGGTTGACGACGGCCGCAGAACTTTGAAAGACGAAAATCTTACAAATCTTACCTCACATGGACCTTTGCAAGTAGTGGATCCTCGGGTGGTCCTCGTACCCATTTGAGAGAACCCGATTTGGTTCCGTCGCAAAGATGCCCCTACCTGCCACATGTGGCAGGGCCTGGCGGATGTCTTGGACGCCTCCCAGGTGCGCGGGATGTGGAGGCTTTATGTGGGTTCCCACCTGGGTATGAATGTTTGTAGGGAACCACCTCAAAAAAGATTGGCGGACATAACTCCCCACCTAGATGATGTCGAAGGGGCCTCCTCAAAAGTCCAGACCTTCTGTGGTGCCCTTTTTGTTCCTTTGGTTTGGTTTGCAGGGGGGTCAGAGGAGGAGAATCACCTGATTGGCTCTTCCCAATCCGACAAGTGGCCAAGGCAGCCAGGCAGCGCCACTGGCAGTTGTAGGAGGAGGCTGTAACTTTCTTTCGGCCCAAGTAATCTTCAGGGCGTCACCGGAAAACTGAAGGTCCTCTTGCTTCCATGCGGCAGGCAAAATGCTAATGTCCGTGAAATTGTCACCGGATTGGGTAAGGAAGGTCAAGAAAGCCGATTTGCGCCAAAATTGTTGTGAGTGGAAACCATGACAATGTTTCTATTCATACACTAGCATAGCTCAATCGCAACTTTGAGTAGTCTGAGTTGCGTTGGTATTGTGCGATTTCTGGCCTTCTGCTTCTTTGCTCAATGTTCGGATAAGTTACGCCAGCATGAAATAGAGTCGTCAATTACTTTACAATCACTCAGCTCTCTCGACTCCCACAACGTGTGCCAGTTGTGACTGCCGCGTGCGGTCAAACCGTTGTCAACCGGAGTTTGGCGCGTTGGCTGTACCAACCAAGCCCCAGGACAGTCACTGGCTGTCCAACTGCTTGGTGACGGAGGTGCTGGAGGATGCAGAGGAGACGCACGAGGCAGGTAGCTAGCCGGGACAATTCGGAAGCTGAGAGTAGTTCAGGAGGCTTGCTCCGAGCTGGGCAGTTGAAAGGAGGAACTCGCAATTCGTGGGGAAGGTTGGACAGCGAGTCAAGAAACTGGATGCTTCAAGGAAAGAGTCGAATTCTCAAAGCTTGGTGGATTCCTCGAGCGTCGAAGGGATTTGTGCCCTGCAAAAGGCGGACAAGACCCCTGCATGCGGAAAGGCTTGCATCAGTCGCCTGGACAGCCTGCAGTTCATGACGGATCCTTTGAAGGAGCATGGCCTTTTATCACAAGTGCCAAGGTCAGACCTGCTGCGCCTGTATATGTACTTGTTAGTATGGTGTTGGATGTTTTCTTTCCTGGGGGCTTGACAGCCAAGAGGTTCCTCTTCAGGGAGCCATGGTCATAACGGGCAAGGGAAGTTTTTGACCATTCCCTTGCCAAAGAGGTTGCAAGCCTCGCAATTGGTCTCCTTGCTGACAGGCGCCGCAGAACGCAGCTCCTGCTGAGGACAGAGTTGTGGCTTGCTGTACCCTCACAGACATAGATCAACACAGGTGGTCACTTGTTATTTGTGGGGCTGGTTCTGGACCCTTCGCCAGACCCCTTGGTGGGGCTGAAAGGTTCCTATAGCGCAGAAGGGGCCTCTTTGCACATGAATGACTCGCGGAACTTGCAAAAGTCTGAGGCTACCTTGTTGTGGAATCACCCGAATGTTTTCTGAAGCAAGGGACCCCGAAGAATGTTGGTTGCCTTCTGGTTGTCCGTCAACCACCGTCCACAACAGGCTCCCCGAATTTTGGACACCCCCCCCTTGAATGTCTTTAGATTTGCTGGCTGTTGAAACAATCCAACGCTCAATCCACGCTCCACGAGTGAAGTACAAGAGGGAATACAGCTGAAAGGCATGTCTTAAAGATTCGATTGAGAACCATAGCAAGGCGAGCCATGGGAAGGTCAAGGGCCTGACTGGTCATTAACGGTCCGTGATGATTACTACTAGGCTCAATGGCTCCCGGCTCTGAATTACTACATGAAAAGGGGTTGGTGAAAAGCGTTTCTTTCCAGCCACAAACAACCGTTGTCGTCGAACTTGGAGAGGCGGCTGAGGATGGTGCTCGCATGTGACCCCCTGACCTCCCAGACTTTCAATGAGAAAGGGAAGCGTTCTGCGTGGTGTCCCAGCCCCTTAGTCCTAAATACTCCAGGCTTTGTTCCACTCAAAATCAGGATTTTCTTGAACTCCTTTGTTGTTCCAGGCTCACAGAATTACATCCAGGCGGCCGATTGCGACCAGACGCGCCCCAGGAGGTCGCGGACGCGGAGCTGTTGGCGGAGTTGCAGGAAGCCCTGCTGGAGGAGACCACGCAGCGCGCGATGTTTTCTGGCGGGAAAGGCGCTTTTCGGCACTTGTCACTTACCCCACTTACGTGTCCATCCACAGGACCCGACGTCTCTGCCGAGCGGCGCTCAGTAGGGCTTGTCCGGGTTGGGGTCAATTTGTCAGGCTCTGCCGAATTTATTTACCGCGCCTTCAGTAGAATCCTCTCAACATGATGGACGTGTTTTGGTGCAAGGTTCGGCACGGCTTTCGCAAGAGGGCGCCAAGCCTTGATCAGTGGAGCAATTCTTGGACTGAGGTCTGCACACGTCGAGGTGCCTTGGCAGAGTCAGAGTGTCAGAATAAGATGCTTGTGACTTGTGTGTTCTTCGGTCGTGCACGAGGCACTTAGACTCGTGACTGCATTCTGGCATTTGCTCCGAGCTCGATGAACCGGGTGACGCGGGGCATATCATGCACACAGAGCCTTGTAGGCCTGAGGATGAACAGGTGGGACCCTTCATCACACAAGGGGAAGCAGCGCAGACAAACGAATGTGTATGTTGTAGAAGTATATATATATATATATATTTACTCAGAGATGCACATGCCTTCTTGAAAAGGTTTTCTGAGGGTCGGAGGAGCAAAGAAGTGGGCCTCAGCCGCCCTTCACAACTGGCACATCCTTCCGCGCCGGAAAGGGCAGCCAGCCTTTTTCAGCCATGAAGATTCCGATGACCAAGAGGACCACGGGTGTATGATGTTCAATGCGCGGCGCGTCGAGGTTTGGCTTCAAAGAACGGCCCACTAGAAGCAGTTTGCTGGCAGCTTTTATGATGTATGGCCCTTGAGGGCAACAAGGTAATTAGACAAAACTGTGGAGCGATCCAATGCCCAGAAGGCTTCTCTGTTGCCTTCGCTGAGTGGTGGGAATTGTCCGGCAGGTCCGGCAGGTCCAAATGGCAGAGGGAAAAGCATGAACAGAATTGGCCCGGACAAATCCGAGCCCTGAGCGGGATGCGAACGTGTGTGTGTGTGTGTGTGTTCTCCTTTGTGGAATCGGGTTTATATTTGGCCGTGCATTTTATACCTTTTCTCCGATCTTCTTGCAGGCATCTTTTCAGATGCTTCCTTACTCTCTACGCTAGAGTCACACTTTGAAGACGTTTACATCACATGTACCGCTTCTTATCAAGTCCTTCTCAACTGCTACAATAAGCATAGAGGTATGCCTGGCAAAGCCAAACGAACCAAGACAGCAGCTTGATGGTTGAGCTGGCGCATGCTGGCACGCATCATCACGGATTGCGTGATGGATGCAGCATACCCAGCACTGTGGAAACTTCCTATGCTCTGCGAATGAATTTCTTGATGCTTGGCGAACACAAGAAGCGTAACCCTCAAATATGTTGGACAACAACCACTCACTCACAGCATCCTTTTATCAGCAAGGTACCCTGTTGTTGAGCACCCCTGTACGTGTCGGACAAGGGCATGGTTGCCAAGTTATTGTGGTGCAAATCACTGTGCCAGCCTCATGGGAACAATTTCCGAGGAGGCAACCCCCTGTTGTGTTGCCTTCATTTGTATCTCGCACTTTGCCCTAATTTGTGCCTGTTTTGGTCATTGTTTCGAGAGAGACGCCATTTTGTATGGCTCTCAAGAGAGACCAAAGGGAAGCTCATCACCTGAGGAGTCGCCTATTTTCGAGCGCAAACCCGTACGCAAGTTGCAGGATGCTGCTGCGGGTGTTGGGAATAGTGGCGGCACTGGTGGCTTATTTGCTGCAGCCCCACCGTGCCCAGGCTGGAAAGTTTGCTTGAGGATCAGACCCTTAGCTAGGCAGATGAGAGCACTCTCTGGAGGTGTTAGTTGGGTCTTGGGGCATTTTGAGTGTCTTGGTGTTTCTCTTGATTTCGCTGCTCCACGCAGCGCCTGGGATGTCTTTACGATGCACTTTCACCAGGATGGACGTTTGACATGCGGGGCACCCGCCAGCAACGACTGTGATGGCAGGCTCAGAAGGCTTTCCGAGCGTCCCGATTTGCGCCTGAAAAGACAGGTCTAGCGGAGGGTTCTAACAAGATTTTGTGACGGTTCGCCCGATCTCATGGTTGGCATCCTGTGTTCCAATGTGCAATGGCAGGGTGCTTCAGAATTATCCAAAAGAGAGGTTGCGTGCGCTCATTGGAGCTGATTTGTTTTGGACAGTGATTACAAAACAGCGCAATACATCATCGGCATGCTTTCCTTGCTTGTGAGTCTGAGGGAAATCTCTCAACAGGGGCATGTATTTGGAGACCAGGGTAGGGCCAACCCCTTGGCAAAGCATAGACCACTGTTGTTTCAGCAACCTTTGTTCGGCTCCCCTGAAAAAATGGGACTTGGGCCCAAGTTGGTTGTTCAAGCAGATTTTGGCCAATGCCGGAGACTGGAGACTCCTCTTCTGAGAGCCTGGCGCGCCGAGGGAAGCTCTCAACACGGGCTGCTGGCTACCTGCAGCCGGGCAGCTGGGCTGTGGTGCTGGGAGGGAGCCAGGGCATCGGAGAGGCGGGGCATGGTGCACACTTTGGGTCGATTTTGCATTCTTTAACGACTGAAGAACTAGGCGCGTAGTGGGGGGGGGGGGTGGAGTGGGAGGGGCCCAAGGAAGCGACACAAGAGGCCAAGCGGTGCAAAAGGCGAACATCCGATGGGGACAGGCATTGCGGATCTCCGCAGATGCCAATTCCATGCTTTAGATGTTGCCTTATACAAGTGGGCTGGGTAGGATGACCAATCAGTTGCTTGAACTCATGACGTCACAGTCAATTCAGAGTTTTTACGCAATTCCCTCATGCGTGTTGCGAGTCAACAAGTAACATGGATGTCTTTTCCTCTCCCTCCAAACCAGAGTTTCGCCACAAGCATTCCAAGTGATGTGTGACTTCATGTTGATGCATTCTGCAGCAAGTGCCTCAGAAGTTGCCCCTGTTTCTTGCCTGCTGCTGCACCATGGCCCCCGCGAAGTTCGGGTCGCAGCCTGGCTTACTGTGCGCGAAGCCCTGGGCCGCCAAGGCCTTCGCCGGGGTCGTGCTGCGGATTCGCCGGGGGGTGGAGGTGGAGGCTTCGCTCCGCGAAGTGCGCGCAGACGTCGCCGAGGGGGCGTTTGTGTCGGACGTCGTCTTCCGCGCGGACGGCGCCTGCGAGGTGAGGGAGCTCAAGGGCTCGGACTGGCACACGGTGGGCGTGTTGTGTGATTGCAGGGAGGTGCGGTGGCGCTGGGAAAAGCTGGGAGGGCGGCGGAAGGTGTGGGCGCAGTCGGAGACCGGCGACACGGTGGTACTGTCGAAGACCTTTGAGACAAGTTCGCCTCAGCTGAAGTTGTTCTCGTGGACGTTGAGCTGTCTTAAGGTCTTTCTGCTGCCGCTTCGATCGGTGCCGAGCCCTCAGGCTTCCCAGGCACTGAGGGTGCAAGAGCTGACCGCAGAGGTCCAGCATCAGAGGGCACAGCAGCCAGAGCTCCAGCAGCAGTGCAACGCGCTGAAGCAGCAGCTCACAGAGATCACCCAGCAAAGAGAACAGGCAGTACAGGCAAAGGACGCCTTGCAGCAGGAGAATCAGGATTTGCAGCATCAGCTGGAGCAGTGCAGGAGCGACTTGGCATTGCTCACACATGAGAAGGCTCACGCAAGAGAGCAAGTGGAAGGCTTGCAGCAGGAAATACACGGTCTGCAACAGCAGCTCGAGCAGTCTAGGCACGATTTTGCATGGCTCTCACAGCAGCAGCTTGAGCAATCCAGGCAGGACTTTGCGTTGCTCATGCAGGAGAAGGCTCAAGCCACCCGGGAAAAGGATGCCTTGCAGCAGAAGGAACAAGACTTGCAGCATGAGCTGGAGAAACTCAGGCATGACCTCATTTTGGCTTCGCAGAAGGCACCGATGACTCAGCAGAAGTTGCAGGAAATCACGCAACAGCTTTTCCAGCTGAAGCAACACTGCGATGCGGTGGTTGCGCCCCAGCTTGAATAAAATCAGTTGCCCAACCTGCCCCGGAATCTGCTCCATTCCTCCTGCTTTGTTTCCCAACAAGTTGCTTCGGGAAGTGACCGGAACTTTTGTTCTTGAGCTGTGCAACTCTGCAAGTTACTGTAGTGCGCTGGCTACTTGTCAGGCGTTCAGGCCGCTCCGCCAACATCAATCTGCAACCAGATGAAGGAGCAGGCTTGGCCATGTTCAAACTCACCAGGTGGAGAGATGTTTGTTTTTTCCCGAAAGCATCGCGAAGGGTTCTTTGGAAAAAACGGTTGCCGACTACACAGCCTGACTTAAGCAGCCTAGCTTACGCAGCGGGACTTACTCAAACTGACTTACGCAGCCTGACCTACGCAGCGGGACTTACTCAAACTGACTTACGCAGCCTGACCTACGCAGCCTCACTCACGCAACCAGACTTACGCAGCCTGACTTACGCAGCCTGACTTACGCAGCCTGACTTACGCAGCCTGACTTATGCACTCTGACTTACGCAGCCTGACTTACGCAGCCTGACTTACGCAGCCTGACTTACGCAGCCTGAGTCACGCAGCCTAGCTTGCCCAGCCCAAGCTCACAGCCTTTAAAATTTAAAATGTAACTTCTTTCTTAGCCGGGGGTGGGTCTGGCGGGCGCTGGCAGGATGAACCCTCGGCGGGGATCGTGCGTGTCGGAGCGCTCTCGCTGTGGTGCGTGCGAATTTGCACGCCGGCCGACGAACCCTCTGCGGGGATCGTGCGTTTCGGATCGCTCTCGCTGTGGGCGCCGTGCGAATATGCACGCTGGCCGAGTCGGATCGCTCTCGCTGTGGCGCCGTGCGACTTTGCACGCTGGCCGACGAACCCTCTGCGGGGATCGCGCGTGTCGGATCGCTCTCGCTGTGGCGCCGTGCGAATTTGCACGCTGGCCGACGAACCCTCTGCGGGGATCGTGCGTGTCGGATCGCTCTCGCTGTGGCGCCGGCGAATTTGCACGCTGGCCGACGAACCCTCTGCGGGGATCGTGCGTGTCGGATCGCTCTCGCTGTGGGGATCGTGTCGGATCGCTCTCGCTGTGGCGCCGTGCCAATTTGCACGCTGGCCGACGCACCCTCTGCGGGGATCGTGCGTGTCGGGTGGCTCTCGCTGTGGCGCCGTGCGAATTTGCACGCTGGCCGACGAACCCTCTGCGGGGATCGTGCGTGTCGGGTCGCTCTCGCTGTGGCGCCGTGCGACTTTGCACGCTGGCCGACGAACCCTCTGCGGGGATCGCGCGTGTCGGATCGCTCTCGCTGTGGCGCCGTGCGAAGTTGTCGCCGACGAACCCTCTGCGGGGATCGTGC